GGGAAGGCGTTCCGTGAGCCTTCTTGTTTAGTCCACATGACCACGGAAACGTCTTCAGACAGCGCTGGCTCTTCGGCTTTGAAACGGAGATGAGCACCGCAACCCTAGAGTCGGACTCGACTGGCTTTTGAGCAAGGGAACCTTCACCTTTTTACCTAGTCTTGTTATAGCAAACTAGCACATTTTTGCTCCTTCAGGTACAGCGATTTTGTTTTTGGATGGATGACTGGAAAACCCTAGTATGGTGGATTTTGCAATCATCCTACCTCATCAGAATGTTCTTTGGACTGAAACTTGATCTATGGGGGATCTGATAAGCAACCCAAGAGGGATTCACACTTTTTGGAGCTTTGCGTTTCCCCCTGTTGTCTGTATTTGCCAGGAACACTGGGGCAAATTTGCTGTTTCAGGGATCCCAGAAAGAATGCTGTCAGAGAGTTCAAAACAATGAGAAAGAAATTCCTTCAAGAGCACTGTGCTGAAAAACACACGTTTTTAAAAAGTAATTTTTCAACATATGAAGCACTGGTTTTAAGAGTTTCTTTGGTACATAGGATTTTAGCAACAAACTTCAGTACCACAGAAACAAAACATTTCAGAGATCCCCTCAAATTTAGTCCTTTGCATGCCCAAAAGCTAAGCCCTTCATTTTTAAATTTTCAGGAAAACCAAGCCATATTTTGAAGGCGTTTCTTTAAAAAAAGTGGCACTTTTTCAGGATTTTCCATCTATGGGGCTTGCCACCACCACCCCCCCCATGATATCCACAGACACCCTTTTTAACTCCTGGGTTTGGCCGGAACCTAAGAGTGAGAAATTTGTCAGAGTGAAACCCCTGGATTAAAGATACAGGGGATTCTAATTGGTATCAGTGTAGAAGAAGAAGAGATTGGATTTATACCTCGCCCTTCACTACCAAGCTAAGCCTTTCATTTTAAATGTTCAGGAAAACCAAGGCATATTTTGAAGGTGTTTCTTTAAAAAAAGTGGCACTTTTTCAGGATTTTCCATCTATGGGGCTTGCCACCACCACCCCCCCCATGATATCCACAGACACCCTTTTTAACTCCTGGGTTTGGCCAGAACCTAAGTGTGAGAAATTTGTCAGAATGAAACCCCTGGATTAAGGATGCAGGGGATTATAATTGGTATCAGTGTAGAAGAAGAAGAGATTGGATTTATACCTCGCCCTTCACTACCTGAAGGAGTCTCAGAGCAGCTTACAATCTCCTTTCCCTTCCTCTCCCCACAACAGACACCCTGTGAGGTAGGTGGGGCTGAGAGAGCTCTTTTGAGAACTGCTCCTGTGAGAACAGCTCTGAAAGAACTTGTAACTGACCCAAGGTCACACCAGCAGCTGAATGTGGAGAGGTAGGAAATCAAACCTGGTTCTCCCGCGCTCCTAACCACCAAACCGGATTCTGCTAATCTGTGTTAGGAAATCAAGGCCCTTGACATTTGCACAGCTACCTAAGTTGTAAAGTAAGGAAGCAGAAGCATTCACCTTCTGATCTCATTTCTTGCAAGGGATGCGGTCTAAGAAGACATGAGCAAAAGGAGCACTGATTGCATGGTGGTGGGGAATGCTGAGCCTAGAGACAAACCCTTAGATGCTTTTGGGTTGCCTCTGATTAGAATGATTAAATGCATAGATGAGTGTAGCTTCGACCTAGATAGCCCAGTCTAGCCCAATTTCATCAGATCTTGGAAGCTTGGTAGGGTCGGCCCTCTTTAGTATTTGGATGGGAGACCGTCAAGGAAGTCCTGGATCCCTATACAGAGGAGGGCAATGGCAAACTACCTCTGTCCACCTCTTGCATTGAAAATCCCACAGGGTCACTGTAAGTCCAATGCGACTTAATGTCACTTTCCCGCTGTGACTTAATGTCACTTTCCATCACATGGGTGTAAGACGTAAGAATCCCACTAACAGAAACCAATCAGGCAAATACAAATCAACTGCCATTTTCCCAGTTTCATGAATTTGTGCATTTAATTATTTTTAGTTGGTGGAGTAGGTTTTCATAATTGGGGTTAGCATTTATATAGCTCTGTCGCAAAAATAAAGACTTTGTGCATAGCTTCCCTTTCACCATATGGAGGTATTTATGACATGTTTATCTTTGCCCTTGATCCCAAGTTGCTCATTCTCCGCTCCTTCATTTTATCCTGAGTTGGGTTCTTGATTTTGGGTATCCCCAGTCTTGGTTTAAGACCTTAACTACTACACAACACATGGCATGGAAACAAAACTACAAGTAGCTGATAGGCACATGTTGATCGTTGTTCATTATATGTTCGGAGGGGGGCCCTCCACAACAAAGACTAAGGGCCTGCCTGGGCCAAACTCTTAATAGACAACAAATAGACAGCTCCTACAAGATATGACTCAGCCCTACCCCACCTTCCTGAGTAGATATAAATTACCTGCCTACAATTTTTCTTTTCATCTTGACATAGAGAGTACTCCATCTTTCTGTGCTATACCTCTGAGGATGGCAGTCACAGCTGCTGGCGAAACATCAGGTCCTACAATGCCAAGACCACGGCCATACAGCCCGGAAAATGTACAACAGCTAATGAACTCCGGCCGTGAAAGCCTTCAGCAACATATTAGACAACAAAAAGGTGGTCTTTTTTCAAGAAATCCTGATATTCTGAGTTGAGGTCATGACAGCTGTTCAGGAGAAGTATGGCTGAAAAAAGCTCTGTTAGCATACCAAGGGGGTTAACCACAACATACTATTAACCACAGACATTCGCCAGATCTGAAATTTTAGCAAAGCTAAACATTTTCCATTGTGAATCTAAATGTAAAATTTCACCTGTTTATGGTGGGTGGAGGGAACAGGAAGTAAGGGTACTATAAAAGTATTATTCTCTGCATGCCTGGTATGAACTAACTAGAATGAAATGGCTAAGATGATTTACATATCCTATGAATAACTATTTCTACTCTTGGTATTACCATATAGTCAATGTTGTCAATGTTGCAGTTGACTCACACATGACAAATCCAGCCTGGGTCTTTCCAGTGACAACATCAGTTGAAGTGCTGGTCAAACACAACCCAGAAGCTTGAGAAGGGGAACTCCACTGAAGCTGCTGCTGAAGAATTCACTGGACTGGTACTATTACACCACACCACGCTACACCTGTTGTGTTCTTTCACTGCTGATCGCAAAACAAGGAAGCACCTCTGGCCCCATCTGAAGATACTCTGTGTACTCTGGCCCCACTGGTGGACCTCCTGATGGCTCCTGGTATTTCTGGCCACTGTGTGATACAGAGTGTTGGACTGGATGGGCCTTTGGCCTGATCCAACATTGGCATCTCTTATGTTCTTATGTTCTTATGTACAGGTTGTGATCAAATGGACAGAGTTTCTACAACTGACTCAAATATACCATATTTACAAGGCCATGCTTTTTCTTTTTCTTTTGCACTGGAGTAAACTAAGGCTACAAAAGGTTAACTCTTCTTAATCCCAACTGGTCCCAAAGAACTGAGAATACAAGACAGAAGGGAATTAAACAGAGCGATGTTCCGTAGCCCTTAAGGTTCACAGAACGATAATATCAAACAGGTGAAGGGAAAGCTGACGTATGTATACAGACTTGATTTGTAGTGGGGCTCAGCCCTGGAGCTTGTGTCAGTGCCAGGGCTCAAGTTCTGAAACATTTGGAACAACAGTATAGAAGTAAGGGCTTCTGAGCATACACAGTATGCCTTCCCGTCTCCAGGACGTCATCAGAGGCAGCCTACTTTAACTGAGTTTTTGGAGAAAAGGGGTTCCATGCTACAGCTCTCCCTTCTCTTCCAACCAGGCTTGAACTATGGTAGCTTCCCTCACTTCAGACTTTAAGCACTCTACCGACTGTTCCGGGCAGAACAGCAGTTTCCTGGGACTGATTCTACACGGGCTGATAGCTAAATGATACTTTGAGCTTTAAACCTGGGTCAAATTAGCTTCAAAAATTAATAAAAATTATTTGTTTATATAAGTTTAGGTGTATAGCTTCTGAAATCTTTTTTAAATCACTAAAACAGGTTACAGTTTAATTGCTACAGATTAGGCACTGCACCCACAACCCCAAAAAGCCACATTAGCCAAATGCCTGATGTCGCATAGTCCTTCGATGCATGTTTGAATGAAGTTTTAAAATGTTGCGATTTTTAAAAAGTTATTGTGATTTTTATAATCTTGAGTGTCATTTGGTGTAGAGCACATTGAGCCTATGGAGATGCTGGATAAAAGTTAAACAAACAAGTACAATAAAATGTAAGTAGCAAACCCCAGGAGAAATAGGACTAACTATTAAAGTTAATGGGGGGGAAACCGCTGAGAGAATCAAAACTGGAACTATAACCTGTCCTTCACTGTCAAATAATATTCCCAGAATAAAGACACATGCAAGACAGCTTTGGATATATTTTGAAGACCATCTCACACATTTACAGGGCAGCCCTACTCAGAATTTGTACTCTTCAAAGTCTCAAGTGGTTAAGACGCTGAACTGCAGGCTGTGGAAGGTCAGTAGTTCAGCAGTTCGAGACCCAGGTGCCGCAAGACGGGGTGAGCTCCTGTCTCTAGTTCCAGCTCCTGCCAACCTAGCAGTTCGAAAGCAAGAAATTGCAAGTAGATAAATAGGTACCACTTCGGTGGGAAGGTAACAGCGTTCCGTGCGCCTTGGTGTTTAGTCATGCCGGCCACATGACCACGGAAACGTCTTCGGACAGCGCTGGCTCTTCAGCTTTGAAACGGAGATGAGCACCGCAACCCTAGAGTCGGATTCGACTGGCTTTCGAGCAAAGGAACCTTTACCTTTTTAAGTCCACTGAGGTCAGTGGGCTTAGAACATTATAAATCTGTTTAAGGATTACACTGTTGCTTTACTCACTAACCACCACCACCACCACAAAAATGGGGGAAGCAAGCATCCCAAATGAACACCAGTGAACAAAAGGAAAGATATATAATTAAGTACCTTATTACCTACCTCCAGGTCATTAAAGAACAGGTACGTATCTGCAAGGTTAAAGATCATTTCTTCCATCATAAGGCCTATCCTGACGGACGTAGTAGTATCCTGTTACAAAGAAAAACACAATGTTTTAAACATTTTTCTGTCCACAATTATTGGTTGTTCAGGTGAGGCCTCTGGTGGACTGCTCGCTCGCTCTCCCTCCCTTCACAAGCCTTTCCAGAGCACTAAAGACAAAATAGGAAATTATTGTGGAAACCGCACTGCATCTCCTTTAGCTTTTTCTTTTTTTGGCCATCAAAATCTTACCCCTACAGTCATAAGGGCTAGACAAAAGGAAATACTTCTTTACACAGAATTCGTTGCCAGAGGATGTAGTGATGGCCACAGGGATAGCTTTAAAAGGGGCATTAGATAGATTCATGGAGGGGCCATCAAAATCTTACCCCTACAGTCATAAGGGCTAGACAAAAGGAAATACTTCTTTACACAGAGAGTGATTAAAATGTAGAATTCGTTGCCAGAGGATGTAGTGATGGCCACAGGGATAGCTTTAAAAGGGGCATTAGATAGATTCATGGAGTGGCAACTATCAGTGGCAACTAGCTATGGTGACTGAGAGGAACCTTCACATTCAGAGGCACTAAACTTCTGAATCTCAGAGCCAGGAGGCAGCATCAGGGAAAGGTTTCGGCCTCTATGCCCTGTTGCCCTCCAGGGGAACTGGTTGGGGCCACTGTGTGAGTTAGGATGCTAGACTAGATGGAACTACTGGTCTGACCCAGCAGGGCTCGTCTTATGTTGTTAAACCTTTCTATTTAAATGAAAATTGGGGCCACTTTCAGATGTGGTACAAACAGGGGTGAGAGTAACCTGGGCTAGTACAGAGTGGTGGTGGAAAGTGCCATCAAGTCACAGGTGACTTATGGTTTTCAAGGCAAGAGATGTTCAGAGATGGTTGGCCATTGCCTGCCTCCACGTCATGACCCTGCTATTCCTAGGAGGTCTTCCATCCAAATACTGGCCAGGGCCAACCAATGTTCCCTCTAAATTGTGGAGTCTTGTGAGCAAAAATTCTACTTTGTGAGCCAGCGATGTGGCTGTTGCA